CAAGGGGTAAAGGGATTTATCTTCTAACCACATAAGCTCAAATCGAAAGGGTGAGGGTCCAAAAGACACCCCACGAGAGTCTATAATAATACGGACATGATCCGAAGCCATCTGGGGGGCAGCCTTAACCACAGTCTTGGGATACTGAATATCCCAACCCTCAGTTACCAAAAACCTATCCAACTTGGACATTTTAGGATCAACTGAAGAGTTATTCGATCAAGTAAAATTGGTCCCCACCATTTCATAATCAAACAAACAATGAGAGTTAATAAAAGAGTCAAACATAAGCATCTGGGGGTTGAAGGCATAATGAGTAGACACTTCCTGGGGTCCCCTAACCAGATTGAAATCCCCGGCACCGCACCAAGGGGACCTACAAGAGTTAATAATACTTGAGATGGAGGCCAGAAATTCCTCCTTTCTCCCCACAACATTGGGACCATATACATTCGATAAGCACCAAACAAAACCATCACAGTTTGTAAAGGAAAGAAAGATGTCACGAAAAGAAGAGTGAAACACAATCCCCGAAACCACAGTGGGGTCCCAAATAGTCAAAAGGCCTTTGGAGAAGCCACAAGAAGAAACAAAAATAAATTCTACTTAGTGAAAGCCCCAAAAAGTTCTAAGAAAAGAGAGATCAAAGTTCGAGAGCTTTGTCGCCTGCAAAACCACAATGTCAGGTCTACATCTACAGATGAGTTGAGGTAGAACCCTCCTTTTCTTGCTCCCAAGCCCACGAACATTCCACTAGAGGATGATCATTAAGGACGAAAGTCCTTACCTCTCCTAGTGATGCTCGAAGCACCGAAAGAGAGGGGGTTGTACTTTAGCCCCGCAGCCAGCTCTGCGGCCTCCTTTTGAAGAAGGCTTCTCCGCCTCCTTAGTCTGGGTGCCGGGATATCCACCAGGGCAATCGTCTCCTCAATTAGTCTGATCTCTCCTTTGAAAGACACCTTCATGCGCTCCAGAAGTTTCGCAACACGCTTCTTGACCAGTCCCCCCTTTGTACTTTTATTGGATTAATTTTTGTCTTCCGAGGCCAAGTCTTCTACATAGGAGTCTGATGATTCCATGACAATGAGAGGAGGGGCCATAGGGATGTCCAAGATCGTAGCTAGCAGAAGGCCCTTCTCTCTTTGCTTCTAGGTTGCCTTCATGGACGGGTTCTTGAAGGACAGACTCCCCAAGTGTCTGCTAAACTCCCATTTAGAGATGGTCATAACCATTGCATCTTCAGGAGAATTCCCTTATTCCGAGAGTATGATCTCTCTTTCCTTCACAACATTGAGAATAATCACCAAGAGTGCCATTGTCAAGGACAAAAGGAACGTAATACTCCTCCTAAACATAAATAACACCAAGTAGGCCGAGAAGAGAGCCCACAACAACAAAAGAGCTCCAAAACCAGGCAAAGGGAAGGTTAGATAAGATTTGAAAACCATTAGTTGCAGGTTTTGGTTTAAAGGAAGAGAGCAATCAAATGGTACATCCTTTCCAGAGCGCCACTTCTTTTCGAAGGGAGCAACATTCAATGTCAGATCTTCGGTCGATGGAGAGCTCCTCAACATCCAACCGTTGGATAGGATTCAGGTCTAGGTCAGTATCCCACCCCATACCTTTCTCATTATGACGTTTCGATTTGATTCTCGAATGCGAAGAGACAGTCGCCCAACCACCACTTTCATATAGTTGTTGAATCTTGTCCTCCAGAAGTAGGGTAGATCACAATCACCCGATGTCCTCTTGTCAACGCAAGGTGACGCCTTTTCAAAAACAGGACATGTGGGTACGATTATAGAGGACACATGGGATGAGGGCACCAAAGGAGGTGTTCCCAAAGGTGCCAAGACTTTCCTCTTTGATGATTCACCTATTGCAAAGGTATAACATTTTAATAGTGATCAATCATGCATGGACCCAGTTGGACCACCACTTTTAACCATTTGAGAGAATCTCGAGTTTGAATTTGAATTCTGCATTAAATACCACTGGTCTTTCTCATCGTCTATGGTCCCCGGAGCATAACCAGCTCCTTTCTTTCATCATTCTTTCCAAAAAAGCTGGGGGGGGGGGGGGGGGTCTTTAGGCTGTCCAGCCCTCTTCTTCTAGAAACCACCTTCCATTTGTTTTCTTCCATCTTGGAAACTGCCTTCCAGTCGCCGAAAGGTTGACTCCAACCCAACTTCTGATCGACATTATCAGATGAGGTTGAGACAGAAGAGTTAGAACAATGCACATGAGCAACTGGGTTGCCTTGTTCAACATGGAAAGAGACATTGAAATAATTGTTTCTAACTATTAGCAATATGCAGTCAGAGATCTTCCTACCAGGAACTAGCCCCATTTTCATCCTGAAGGATCCCAAGGAGGTGCCTGCTGAGGTGAACCAGACTATCTCCACCAGGTTGCTACAAGCTTGAGCCACCGGAGCAAAGACTTCCTTTGTCTAAGCATGAATAAGAATACCTAAAACTTTCACCCAGACTGAAGAAGGTCTGATAAGAGACAAATTTGCCTCAATGGACCATCACTTTACCATCATGAGAACTCTTTTAAATCTCTAGAAATGCTACTTCAAAACCTGTCCCATATCATATGGGTTATCAAAGATAAGTAGACCTCTATGATTAGGGATGATCCTGCAAGTTAAAGAACAATTCCAAGTACGAACCGCCCAATCTTACAGCATACTCAAATCGTCCACAGGAGGACTGAACGAACAAACTAGGGCCTTGAGAAGCTGGGAATGCTACTGGACAGTGATGCCCTTTCTAATCTCCAGCACAGGAATCCCTCCCACGGAGCTAGGAGTGGCCAAGAGAGGGGGGGGGGGAGAGAGAGAGTTTGGGTGAAGGGCCGAAGCAGACTTCTTTCCAGTTAGTGGAGGTGGAAGAAGATGAACTAGAACCGCCAAGTCCACGAGCTCTTTTAAGGACAGTTCGACCTCCATCAGGGATACGCAAGGCCTTCAAAGAGCCAGAGCTCATGGATCCATTCAACCCGTTGACCTTAGGGTGCTCAGTAGATCCTTTAGCACCACCTCCTGAGGCTCTAGATGATCTTGAGAAGTTGTTGGAGCGGTTCCAGACAAGGAGGGATCGCCAGCCCAATTTGCCCATACTGGCAAGATAAGAGAAAGGGAGCAGATAAAGAAGGTCACTAGTTACAAGGAAAACAACATGCAAAGAGACAGAAAATGAAAGGAGTTAGCAAGGGGAGAAAGAAGACAGAGAAGATGGCAGAGAGGGGGAGAAGGGAGAGCTTCATTGCTTAAAATGGACAATAGATAACCACCACACTAATTGAGTGTTTTTTATCGTGACTATATAGATCAATAAGGTGTAGAGTATAGCGAACTCTAAAACATGCAGACTCTCTTTCTTGCAACACTCTCAATCGTCATACTGATCCATTTATGGCAATTTTATAGGAAAATTATAAAATGAGACTATTTAATTTAGTATAAGATAGTCATAATTAATTATAATCATCCAATGTGAAATCTGATAGTTTAGGTGTGTTACATAGTTCAAGAAAATCTCTTTTGAAGTTTGAGCTTGGTCAATGGAATAAATGCAGCCATCTAATTTCGCATCTAATGGTCAAGATTAATTGTGATCACCTTGTACTAAAAATAAATTGTCTCATTGTTTCCTTTTCTATTATTTAAAAGGTATAGTTTGTATACGGTTGCAATAAAAATAATCAAATTAAGGGGTACCTCCTAACTTTATCATGAGATGTAATTTTGGTGTTGAAAATTCTTAAGATGGTGTATTTATAGTTTAAGGATTTAAGCAGATCAACAAATACATAAAAATCTTGAAATGGATGGTCTAGATAATATGTTGCAAGATATACTATTTTTAGGACTTAGATCTCTTTTTTTCTTCATATCTATACATTGTGATGTTGAGATTATCAGTTAAATATTTTTTAACATCAAAACAACCTTTTTGGAAAGATTTTAGAGCTGCACCTTGACTTTCTATTTACATAAATCATCTTTGAAAGGTGTAGTTCAACTACAGAGTTTTAAATTTTATGATTAGAGGATACAGTTTTTAGAGGGCCTAGGTTTTATGGAATCCAAATAAAGCCTCACCTAGATGATCAATTAAATGTTTTTTAATAACAAAACAACTTTTTTGGAAAGATTTTAGACCTGCACCTCGATTTTATATTACATAAATCATCTTCGATATGTGTAGTTCAACTGCAGAGTTTTAAATTTTATAATTATATGATGAAGTTTTTTTTAGAGGGCCTAGGTTTTATGAAAACAAAATAAAATCTCACCTCAAATCCTCATCTGGAAAGCACATTCGGCAACAATTGCAATCTCTATGATGGATATAAATCAGTTTCCAATACCGACAATAAAATTTGAAACTAAAAAAAAAGTACATATCTTGTGGATCTATGAAAACTTAATTTTAGGGTGAACCTTACACTAATTTGATTGTTTAGAGCCTCACATCTTTAAATAGTGTCGAGAAGGATGGTTTCAATATTGAAAATATCTGTGATAGCCTTAAAATACATTTTCATCACTAATTATAAAATTTAAAGCTTAAAAAATAATATAGATCGAGCGGATCTATGAAAATTTGAAAATCTTGAAAATTGACGATCCAAAAATGAATTACAAGATGCACTATTTTCAAAACTTAAAATATATTTTTTTCTCATGTCCATGCATCTTGAGGTCGAGATGATCAATCTAAGGATATTTGATCATCGTAACAACCTCATTTTGAGCTTCACACTAATTTGATTGTTTTTGTCTCACACTTATATAAACTTTTTCCTTAATGAAGATACTTTGTATAAAAAAATTTCTTTTGTATAAGCCTCACCCCTATTATTATTATTATTATTATTATTATTATTATTATTATTATTATTATTATTATTATTCAGTTTGAGTATTTTTTAGTAATTAAGCCAAAGTCACGGGTTCCTGAAATTCTCTTACACGTGAGAATCATAAATCGATGTGATTTTGCGCAGCTTACAGTTTTTCACCTGCAGAGGTACAGAGTTTACGATTTTTCCTTTCTAGCAAGAGAAAGCCTAAGGTTTCTCATTTACAGAGAGAGAAATAGGGACATTTACAGGGCTTGATAGTCGAGGAGGCGTTGGCGATGGAGAAAGTTCCGGTGATTCTGCTTCATAATGCCTTGGTGATAACCATGGATTCTGATTCGAGAGTTTATAAGAGTGGAGGATTGGTTGTTGAGGGTGACAAGATCAAGGCCATTGCTTCTTCTGCCGAAATACTCGAGCAATTTTCCTCCCTATCAGACGAGGTTATTGATCTTAATGGCCGAATTGTACTCCCAGGTTTTACTCTCTCTCTCTCTAAATCCATGCTTCTTCTCCATGTTTGTTAAATTTAGGTTTGGTTGCTCTTTATTTCAGTGTATTGCATCAAATACTTGTACATTGCCTATGGATAATCCATTTGTTTGTGGAGAATTCATGAAATGAATAAAGTTTGTGTGGAATTGGGGAAGGGTTGAAACTATTTTTATTTCTCTTATGCTAAAAAAGAATCCATTGAATAGAGGTCATTTACCGGAATCTCCATTTCAATGTTCTTAAATTTGGCTCGTGCCTCCTGCCCTCGCCCGAGCGAAGCAACTCGGCTGAGTCTGAGTCTAGTGTGAGTCCAGCGTATTGTAGAAGACAAAAAAGGTTAGAGAACAATAAAGGGTTATGTTAGGGTATTCATATATATGAGTATTTCCTTCAGTTACTTTGTTATTTTTGGACACTTGATACTCTTACCTGATGATGTAGTAAATTTTTTGTCTAGAGGTATTTTATGTAAGGGTGCGGTTTCCATAAGGTTGCAACCTTGAACAATCCAATTAAGATGCACCTTCAAATTTGATCATAACATATATTTTTGATGTAAAATATTCTTAGGATTATCTCAAAATTTATTTTCATATCTAATTATAAAATTTTAAACTCCAAAAATGGTTAAAATCAAGTAGATCTATAAACATATAAAATTTTTGAAAATGGACTGTCTAGATAATGTGTTGTAAGATACACTATTTTTGGGACTCAAAATCCTTTTTTCTTTCATAATCATGCATCTCGATGTCGAGATGCTCAATTAGAGGATTTTTCAACATCAAAACAACATTTTTCTATGAATTTTTGAGATGCATCCGTAGTTCTACATTTTAAGGTTGCAATCGTATATAAACTTTTTCCTTTATGTAATTAATCAGAGGTAAAGTATAAATTCTTTATAGAAAGACAATCATGTATTAACCATGGTAGTCATATGTGGCAATGATGGCTACTTAACCACTAATAATATGTCACTAGTTTCTTGCAAAAATATGTATCCTACCCCTCCTAATGACCAAAAACAAGCTTACTCATAAAAGTTTATACTACAAAACAAGGGGCAATGAGTGATCCATAAATGTTGAGTACTAAGGAAATACTCATCTGTATGAGTACCCTAACGTAACCCAATAAATAAAATATAAAAAATTGATTAAAAATAATTAGAAATAAGCAAAAGTGAAATAAGTAAAGAATTCATTAGAAGTCAATAAAATCCAAGAAAGTGAATAAACGATGCATTATTGAAAACTTTGATTTATACCTCAAATTAGTGTTTTAAACCAAATCAACAAGGGGAATAGGTCGTCCCGGAAACGGTCCGGATCGGCAAATCGGCAATCCGGTGGATCGGCCTTTGGGGCCGATCTGGCCTCAACGAAATTTTAAAAAATTGCTCAAATTTATTTTAAAAATGGGGGTATTGCATACTACTTTTTGATGGGGACTAGGTAATGTCCCCAAATATTAGGGTCCTAAAGATACTGCAAGGATGGGCCCTATAAATACTCCAAGCTTGGACTGTGAGAGATTAGGTCTCTTTCAACTAGCTTGTTTGGGTCCTAAAAGAGTAAGGAGCTGTCTTTTTTTGGTTTAGGTGGGTTCACAAAGTTTGATGACGTTATCTAATCCCCATTAAAAATAATAATAATGCACATGCAATATGCCCTTTTTTTTACCTAATCCCCATCGAAAAGTAATACTATTCTTACTTTTTAGAATTTACATATTTTAAATAAAATAATAGAAATCCATAATGCAATTTCCCTTTTCTGGAAACCAAAAAAACTAGATTTTTTTAAGAAATTTTAGCAAATTTTGTAAATTTTTTAAGGTGGGATCAGCCCGAACAGCTGATATGCCGATTCGTCAATCTAGATTAGTTTCTTGGATGACATTTCCCGGCTGGTCCGGCTTTCCCAACACTGTTTTAAACAAGGGCCGAGTTGGCCCTTAGAACTTGCCTTGGCCACATGCTAAGTCCGAGTTACTCAGCCGAGTCTGAATACTGCCACTGATAACGGTGAAAGTATGACAAATATGGGGAGTTCAGCATGTCCGAGTGGCCTCGGCTGAGTCCTGAAATACTTCTCCTGATAATGGTGAAAGTATGACGAATCAATGGAGTTCAGCATGAATTGTCACAGAATAATATCTAATTTGTTTTTAGAGAACTACACAAGGTTTCAAATTTTCTCTCAGGATTTATTAACACTCATGTCCACACATCTCAACAACTCGGAAGAGGGATAGCTGATGATGTCGATTTGATGACGTGGTTGCACGATCGTATATGGCCTTATGAGTCAAACATGACAGAGGAGGACTCTTATATTTCAACTTTACTCTGTGGTATCGAGCTCATACACTCTGGAGTAAGCGATGCCCACTATCTCAATATTTTGCATTTTTTTCTTTTTTATTAGTAACTAACTCAATGTTGTGCTACTTGATTTTTTCTTTGGCTGATCAAATAATCTTTCCATTTGTGCAGTTTACCTTTTTCTAGGCTAACTAGTTAACTTGGTATAATGATCTTTAGGTTTTTCTTTGAATCCATCAGTTTATTTTTCTTAAATGCATCAGCGATGTTCTTCTTCCTAAGATATATTTCGATTGTTCGATGGATTGGTTGATTTGGTGATTCTTGAGGAATGTATAGGTGCCACGGGAGCACACCATACTAAGCCTGCATATGTTATGTGGTAGGGCCAGGTCATCCAACTGTTTATTCTTAATCATGGACAATGGACATTCTTCATACCCTATGCTATGTCTTTTGTGCACTAATGAGAATGGAGGGTGGATTCCTGACTGTGAACCATTTACCATTCATCTTGTACTTTCCCATTTGCCATAGGTAATGTTTTTATTTCATAAGCCTGGTGTCTTACATAGATTCAGAAACCACCAAGCTTTAAAATGTGAATATTGGACCCACAATACATGTGTTGTAGATTTGAGGTTGGTTATACATATCATATTGACATGGGAAATTTAGTATTATCCATTCTGTCCTTTCATGGAGAGCCTGTCTGTATATACTGTTGCATGTTGTGATTAAGTCATTTGGAATACATATGAATTTTTGGTTGTCTCGAATTTGTCCATAACATAATAAATGTGTATCTTTTATACCATTTCATTTAGTTCATTTTTATTCTTTTTGTGACTTCTTGGATTAGGTAACATGCTTTGCAGAGGCAGGTGGGCAGCATGTCACAGGAATGGCGCGGGCAGTAGAATCACTGGGTATACGTGCCTGCCTAGCACAATCCACCATGGATTGTGGGCAGGGTCTACCGGCAAATTGGGCTAACCATACTACAGAGTACTGTCTCCAGGTGAAGTATTTTGAGCACTATGAGCATCTAATGTTGGTTCGTCAATGAATCATCACTGCCATTTTTTCGTCATGGATATCAAACCTGCTATTTATCATGCCATGCCTATTAGCAATATTAGTTATTTTGGACTCCTTGTAGGCTGCTGCAGTTTGCTTCGTTGTTGTCTTTTCTTGAGTTCTTTTTTGTTTGCTCGTGTCAGTTGGTTCTGGAGACTTATGTTCTTCTCGACTTTGATTCATTTGAATTATTTTGTTGCTTGTCATTCTTTTCTTTTTTTTTTTTAATTTATGTTTTATTTATTACTATTATTATTGTTGTTGTCATTGTTTTTCTGCTGTTGCTGTTACTATTTTTGTTGTTGTTGTTGTTGTTATTATTGTTACTAATTATTATTATTATTGTTATTGTTATCTCTATTGTTACTACACCCACCACCACCAGCACGACTACATCATCATCATCATCATTATTATGGTTATTCATTGGTATTTTAAGGATCGTTTGCGTCCTTTTGATGATTTTGCGCTCTTCTTCTCAAGGATACAGTCTCAAAAGGAGCTTTACAATAAGCACCAAGATACAGCAGAAGGACGCATAAGGATATGGTTTGGTTTGAGACAGATTATGAATGCAAGTGACAACTTACTACTTGGAACAAGGGACATTGCAAAAGAATTAGGAACTGGCATTCATATGGTGAGTGTGTATTTCGTAGTATTACATCACAAATGCTACGTATATTGCAAAGCTATCTTGCTGATAGGGAGTTTGAATGAAGCTGAATTTCACATAATTGAACAGCTCATTGTAAGTTTTGCTGATCGAAATTTAACAGTGGCTTACATATGTTGAATATGAATTCTTTTTAAAATGATTAGAATAGGGTGGACTGTGTGAGTATTTTATGAAGTAAGCATCATCACTATTATCATCCGAGCCTTGTCCCAACTCTTTGGGGTTGGTTACATGAATCATGTTCAGCCATTTTTCTCTATCAAGGGCCATGCCATCTCTTAAAGAAGTAACCACACATGCTGCTATTTTATATATATATATATATATATATATTGTTAGTTTTTTGCTTAAATGGTGTTTCAAAACAACTCTTTTCGCAACAATGTTGATGGACCATTTTTACAGGATGGACCGTTGGTCCACCATCTTTTGCAAAAGTTTTACTTTAAAGGTGATTTGTTACCACCTTGCGTGACTATTTTGTACCCACCCTTTATGAAATCTTAACACCTAATTTTGAGGTGTTGGGTATTGCCTCTCTCACTCGCGTTTAAGAAGACTCTCTCTCTAGGGGTTAAAAAAATAGAGGGCTTCCTGTTAACAGGAAGCCTCACAGTGATCTTTCTCTTGGTTCGTAGGCTCTTTCTCTCACTAATTTTGACAGAAGCGTGGACGGTTTTATTTCAATGAACTGGATGACTATCTCGTGGCATCAAGAAGTGAACGATGGATTTTGCTTAATGTACGGTTTTCTCGCTCTCTGATGCATGAATTTCTTATCATCCGGTAAGTTTGTAAACTTAATATATTTTTATAAAATATTTTTCCATGTGTTCTGTACCCAATCGATGTTTGTATTTTATCGATTGGAAGACTAATTTTTAGTGAGAGAGAAGATGTTCCCAATCAATTTTATTGTAGTATAGCGATTGGATGATATATTTTGTAGTGAGAGAGAAGTTTGCCATCCTAATCAATGTTTTTATTGTACCGATTGTATGATGATTTTTATAGTATATTTCCAATTAATGTTTGTAGAACCATGCCAATTGGAAAGACATATAGTATTTTTGTGATTGTGGTTTTGTACGGGTCTCATGAGTATGCAACTTAAGGACTCAGGAATAATTTTCTGATCTGGTTGTATCGTAGGAGTGTACTCGCCGGGACCCGTTTGCACATCGGATTTTACCGAGACGGGGGCGTTTGACACTTAAAAGAAAGCGAGCTGCTCTCGTGCCTCCAGATCCCATGTTTTTAGTCCCTATAAAATGGGAGTTTATGTCTACCATGATGTTTTGTCAGCCATGGTGAGACCCCATACAAACCAACATCTATATATATATATATGGAAGATGCTAGGGTGATCCCACTAGCTCACATAATAGTATAAGTCCAATGGCCCAGATTGAATTTGGACCGATCTGACGGCTGAGAGTATTTGAATTTTTATTTATTTTTCTACAAATCCAATCACTTGAATTTAGTGAATATTCTCCTCATCAAGCCGTACCTAATAAAAATATAAAAAAATAATCCGCAAAATTGAAAATGACCAAAATACCACCAAAAATTTACGGAGATACTTTGGTCATTGTTTTTCATGTAAAATATTTTTTGAATATTCACTTATTTTTTATCAACACACGTCTAAAATTTCAAGTGATTTGGATTTGTAGAAAAAAAATTAAAATTCAAACACTATTGGGCATCTGTGATAGTTAGATCGGCCCAAATTCAATCTGGGCCATTGGGCCCATTTTTTCTTGTGAGCCAAAAATGAGCCCAATGGCTCACAGAAGCCTTTTCCTATATATATATTGACAAGGTTGCATAGGAATGGATCTTGAGACGTATTGCTACGAAAACCCAACTGCTACCATTTACCAAAACAATTTCATTAATGAAATTTATTGTTCTATTTTTTAAGCTAACATTACTTGGAAATGCTGCTTGGTTTTATCTTAACCTTATGGGAAGTATCAATAGCAACATATTTTGGGCTTGACATATCAATTTTTGAGTCATTATGAAATATGCATATGTGAAAAAATTTAAAATATGTGTAGCACACAATATGGAAGCTCACATTTTGTGGGCTTGACTACGTAGAAAATGGGCAATATGCATTTAATATATGTTTCCATGTATCTTGTATATGTATGAAACAATATGGAAAACCATCAAAATTCCATAATCCGTACAATTCTCATTTTTGTTAGGCTTTCTCTTTAATGCAATACTTCATAACAAATTTAGGTGTGTTTAGCATGTTGCAGAGATTCCTTATGAGAATCAGGTGGTGACGAATACAAGGGGAGTTGATCACGGAACGGTTACTTATTTAGAGAAAATAGGGCTTCTACATTCCAATTTGTTGGCAGCGCATGTTGTTTGGACAAATGATAACGAGGTATCTTCTAAACTTTCTTTCAATGTATTTCTTTGCGTTTTTGTACAGAGAAAATTTCACTGCTTGTGTATGTATTATTTGGTTGTGGAGCAATTTGTTTACTAAATGATTTTCTACTTGAGAAATACATCATGTCCCCAAGCAGCTGTTTGAAAATTAAATTCCCTTAGAAAACAAGGGCAGATTGTATAGGTTTTTTTTTTCTTACCAAGATCTCCTAACATAGGTAGAGAGCGGGATCTTCGAACACAATCCCACTCTCCTGTAGCGGTATCGCAGTCTGGCTCGACAGCCCATGTTGGGGGAACATGATCCCATGCCAATAGGAGTCATTCAACAAGTCAACACATCCATATTCTTTATATTTCCAAAGGAAAAGAAGCAATAAATGCATATCCATTAAAACAGAAAGCAATAATTGTATATCAATAAAGACAGAAAGCGGTAATTATTCGAATCCATGTTTAAAAGGAAAGGAGATTATTAAATTTTCATCAATAACAAAGAGAGTCTTAAATCATGTGCTTCCAATATTGCATCTGATGTAGGGAATAAGGGGGCCAACATTTGCCACAAATAGTTTTGGGATCATGACCTATCATCTTTTTAAAATGTGTAGAAGAGAGAGAATGATCTCTCGCACCACCTCTTTATATCTACATTTGTTTACTTGGTTTACCTCATGCTTCTTTTTTCTTTTTAAAATGAAGGGAATATATGAAGAAAATGACTTTGTGCATGTACGTGTGTATGTATATATGTATGCATATATGTATGTATCTATGTATGTATGTATGTATTTATATGTGTATGTATGTATGCATACTTGTTGACATATTACCAGGGTAGAATGGAAACCTTGACATCACATTGTGGGTCCTCCAATGGCGACTTGTATATGGTTAATGGAAATAATGTCCTTCATTATTGTGAAGTGCTTATATAGGAGAACACTCAAGTAAATATAAGCTAGTACTCTCTATTTTTATTTGCGTAAATTAATTGTAAGTGCAATTAAATATATTTCTAGAAATTATTCCATCTTAATATTTTTCAAAATAATTGCGATTAATATTCTATTTTTTCTATTTTTCTTGTTTTGTATATTTATCGTATAAGCACCCTCATGGCACTCCCAAACTAGGGAACTCCTAATAAGCAATGTCCTTGCTTCAACAACTGCAACTGCCTCAAACAACGATTTTTTTTTCATCTCTACAATGTTTGTGAACAATTGCAATATGTTCGCCAACTAGTATTGAGCTTGTACACTTTCACAATATAGAAAGGAAAGTCAAAAAAAAGTTAATTGTTTCTCTTCTTTATAATATTTAGAAATGATTGTCTCAACAAATTCCATTTAATATTGAGCATTGTGAACGTATTTAGGTTAAAGAATCATGGTATAAAAAATTGGAAAACTATACAATAAGATTGTTTACTTTAGTACAAAGAGGTCACAAATTGACAAGTACCTTAGCCATTAGATATGGAATTAGGTGGCTGGAGGTGTGCTATTGACCGAGCTCAATGTCCGAAGATGATTTTCTTGAACATTATGACACAACCCAACCTTTAAGATTCCAAATCTGACATCTAGGGATGATTGTTACCTTGTACCAAATGAAAACAGTCTTATAATATACAGTCCCATTAAAATTAGGTCTTCATGCAATGTATGGCAATACCTATTTGCTAGAATTTTGGCAACTCCTCGCACATGTATTCCTTACAAGCTCCAAGGATGAGCACCATAGTTACCGGGATTGCTGAAGAAGGTGGTCGCTCCAGCTTCAGAAGCTCGATCCTGCTCTCCAAGATAAGGAATATCAATTCCAGACATTTTCTGAAATTAGGGATCTCGATCTTCAAAAATGGGAATCTAGATCCCTAGGTAATGGGATCCAGATCCCACTCATCCAAATCATGGGTCTATGAATAAGCGAATCAAGCTTCCGCCAATATGCAATCAAGTTTCTTTTACATTGGTACCAAATATCACCAGCACATTTTGAGTCTCATGCACTGCCCAGCCCCCTCTTCCCCCACCCACTCTTCTCTCTAACTCCCTACGTCCCTAATCCTCTCCTCCTCCTCCTCTCTCTCTCTCTCTCTCTCTCTCTCTCTCTCTCTCTC